CTTGCGATAGATAATAAGTGTATTGTTTGAGATCGTTGTCCACTTAGGAGTAGTAACAAAGTTGTCAACCTTTCAGAAAGCTCTTTAAGTGATAAATCTGAGACATAACATTTCTGTCTAAAATAGTCAAAGACTTTATTTACATCCCAGACAGCTTCGTACCTTGGAAAACTAGGGCGAAGTTCAAAGATTCCTTTCATAAATCGTTTTACTAATGGTAACTGTCCGAAGGGAATAGTATTATCCTTGCGATGCAATAAGGCAGACAAAGCGCTGCGAGCTGTATTTATTGAGGTGTATGATAATCCTTGCTGAAACAATCCTGTTAAGAAATCAACTGCTTTAGGTATAGGAGGATCTAGGAAACTACATTCATTTTGGATGCAAAAGGTTTCCCATTTCTTTTTATATGTTTGATACTGTGTACCGTCTCTCCACGATGCCATAATAACTTGAACTGCTTGGGAGGAAAAACCTTTGGTTGTTAAGTTTGCCCGGACACAAGACATATGAGTATCTCTAGTTTCTTGTGGAGTGGGTGTACTTCCTCTGGATTGGTTGGTAGGTGGAGCAATGTTTTGGATGGATGGAGTCTCTGAGGAGGTTTCGGTAACAAAGGTTTTACGAGAGGATACCATATTTGCGTTGGCCAGTTTGGGATTACAATAATTCCTTTTGCCCTCTCCTGGATGATCTTCCTTAGTGTCTTTAAAGACAACTAAAAGGAGGAAAACCATAGAAATTTAACTTTTCCCAAGATATTGAAAATGCATCAATATGAGATGCTTCAGGGTCAGGCCGATATGAACAATAATTTTTAAATTGTTTATTTAGCCTAGATGCAAATAAGTCAATTTCAGGCTGAAACTGCAATTGTTCCAGTGCTGATGCCAAATCCTTAAGATTTAGCATCCACTCTGCATCCTTGTACAGGGTTCTAGATTCTCTATCTGCCACCACATTGCATGGCCCCGGAAAATGAGCAGCAGTAAGCCGAATCTGATTTTGGATACAAAATTCCCATATCTCAAGTGTAATTGAATTACATGTATCGTTATGACTAGTACCCATATTGTTGATAATAAATACCGCGGAGCTGTTATCAATCATAATTTTAACATGTTTTCCCTTGATCTCAGAAGCAAATGATTTTAAAGCAAAAAGAGCAGCATTTAATTCAAGGATGTTTATGTGGTTCTTCTCACTTTGTGCCCAACCCGCCCCAGTTGACTGCTCACCCAAGGCTGCTCCCCAACCTTGCAGAGAGGCATCAGAGTAGACCACTACATCCACTGGGGGAATTTCTATGGTATTGAAACTAGTATTAACATTATGAAGCCACCAATTTAACTCACGCTCTGAGTTTTTGGAAATATTCATGTGACCGTCATAATTGCCCTTTGACTGCTTTAGAGCACTTGTCTTATCATGCTCTAAATTTCTATAATATAAAGGACCATATTTTACGGCAGGAAATGAAGAAACCATATGACCAATAATTCGAGCAATCTCCCTAATTTGTATATTATTAGGGGATTGTAGAGCCTTTGTGATCAAATCCATCAATTTTTTGGCTTTTTCTTCAGTGAGCCTTAACGTCATAGTTACTGAATTTATTTTAAAACCTAAAAATGTTATGCATTGTTTTGGAACAAAGGATGACTTCTCTGGGTGAATGACAAACCCTAAACTCTCTAGAAGTTTAAAGGATTCGATTACAGATCTTACACATTGCTCATAAGTGGTTCCAATCACCAAAAGGTCATCTATATAGATAACTATAACATGCCCTTCTAGTCGTAGAGTGGCTAAAACTGGTTTCAACAATTTTGTGAATCTTCTAGGACATGAGGATAACCCATTGGGAAAAACTTGGAATTTGTACAAATTCCCATTATAGTAAAATTTTAGAAAACTCTGAGACTCTGGATGTATGGGCACACTATAATATGCATCCTTTAAATCTAAGGATGACATCCAACAATCTCTGGAGACCAGTTTTAGGACAGTATAAATATTGTCCATTTTAAAATGATGGTATTCAACTGAATCGTTTCTTTAAGTTTAAAATTAGTCGTATATTCCCATCCTTTTTGTTTAGTGTAAATATGGGAGAGATAAATTCACGAGGTTCAGCATTGCATAGGCTGATAACCTTTTTTGTTTTTAGGCAGTTTATGGCTTCTTCAATTTTCTCTGATTGGGAAAGGGGAAGGGTATTTGGGGGTGATGTGTGTTGAACTGGTACTTGCCCTTCAAAATTGATATGATCACCTTGGACCATACTTACAATATCTGGGTCTGAAGTAATTTTATTCCATTCATGAGAAAATTTTTTGATCTGACCGGCCTGAAAATTAGAAATTTGTTTTTCAAGGTAACATTTAAGTTGTTCATCAACAAATTTTGGAAAATCTTTTACCTGTGTTGATACTTTGTCTATTTCTTTGTGTATGTCTTTTTGTTCTGTTGATATGGCTTTCGGGGAGGGTATTGGTTCCTCCCTCTCTGCGATAAAAAATGTTTGTTGTTGTTGTTAGGCGAGCGAGTATAAGATGATTTGTTTGTACCAGATTGGTTTCCCTGCATGAGGTACAAAAGAGGTATGTTGTGTCACCACCTTTGTGGAGGCTCGTAAGTCCTGCACAACTTTGGGCAGGTCTTCGCCAAATAATAATCTCCCAACTTTGCGGGTACGTGAACAAACTGATTTAAAATCTGGATGAAGTATCGGTTTTATAGTTTCTTTCCTTTTAAAGGATAGTTCTTGGCAAGCATGGCCAAATAATGCAGTAGCATCAAGTAATTGAAAGAAGATCTTTATAATTTGGCAGGGTTTTTGTTTCCCTGCAAACAAGCAAATCATTTGATGCTGTCGTCAAGGCTGAGACGCCTTTGATTAGGGTATCTTGAAGGTTTGAAAACTTAATGTCAGCCTTCCTTTGATGGGGCTTCATTTTATGCCAGATTTCTGTATTAACTCTAGGAACGAAAAGTTCAGTACAGTTTTCCGGTTTCTTGTGTGTATTCAAGATGGATTTTAGTTTTGTTAAATCAACATCGTCGGAAAAATTTTTGTTTACAATGCTCGCAAGTTTCTCGGTAATAGGCGGGCCTGTATCTTCTGATGAAACCAAACTTTGTGCAATATCGGACAGGAGATTTTCATTGTCCTGTTCGTCCTCATTAAATTCCGGCCCGCCAAAAAGACTTAGCGTGTCGTCGACATCGCGGCCTCGTTGAGAGTTTTCCCCGGAATCAAATAATTCTACGACCTCATGGTCAGTTTCTTGGCTTTGACACCTTTGGTGTTCATTTTCTTCCTGGTCTTTGCCAGATGAAGTTTTCCCTGTCTTTGAGGGATGTTCTGCTCTCTTTGGAGCCTCAGAGACAAAGTCTGAATCGTCCGACTCATCTTGATCGTTACCCGAACTAGTATGGGAACGTTTTCTCGCAGACTTTCGCCCTTTATCCTCGTCAAAAAACTTGAGTAGCGAGTTCGTTTGCTTTGATAGAGCTTCTTGAAAACTTGTCTGCATTTGAGCTAAGGCGGAAAGCAACTTATCAGAATTTTGCGAGCTATTGTCACCGATAATATCGGTAGAAACCGAAGCCTCGATTGCTTTTGCACTCGCGTCGGCCATTTCTGTTTTCAAAGATTGCCTAAAAAAACCCTTTAAAACAACGTTATACGTAACTTTTGTACTTATCTAGTCTTTTGATTTGCCATTCTTCTTCTCGAAGAGATATATTCCAAAAAACCAATGATGGAAAGGATTAAAACGGATTAAAAATGGATAAAAAACTGCGAAAATACCTTTCTGTGTTTTCCACACGATGGCGTTCACAAATTGGTTTTCTGCGCGTGCGTCGCACTCTCGTGCAACTCTTGAACGACCATAGCTGATGACGTAGTAGAATTGCATCACCCACCCCATTGATGAAGCTAAGAACAGTGACCCACCCTTTGTGCTTCGGCCCACCTTGGAACGAGTATGACACCACTTTTCATGTGTAATTTCTAGATCGCCAATGGCAAGTGCCATAAGTACCACTTCAAATATATCAGATGAAGAACGAAGATGGACTGTGGTTGGCGTTTGCATTAATAAAGTTCTTACTCCTCAGTTAAGAAATATTCTTGCAACTGAGATACAGAACTGGTACAATCTGCTGTGTCGACCACCAGATGAAATTAACAAACAAGTTTTTTCCAAACATAAAAAGAAACTACCCCCGTCAAAGTTTCCTTTGAAATACGAGAACATCAATACCAACAATGTCCACAAGTCAACCAAAGCTTATGACTATAAAGTTAAAGATCATTTGTCTTTGGCAAAGTTGTTTGTCCAGCCTTTCATGGCAAAATTTACTGCTTTTGACCAAACTATGGACATGTCTGCGGTTTTGGCAATTATGTGCGAAGCAGGTCCATTTGTAACATCTGGCGCCGCAGTTGAAGCAAAGACAGTAAGGTCAAACATCAGAAATAAGTGGGCCCATTGTAACTTTTCGGATTGGACCAAACCAGCATTCATGGACGCCTTTCGAGACATGCACTCTTTAGTGAAGAAGATGAATCTACCACCAGCTGATGAACAAGCATTGTGTGATGATCTGGATAGCTGGAAGGACAAAGGTATCCATTGAAGTACATATTGTGTAATATTAATTGTGTAATATTAATTGTGTAATATGTTAGTATTTTTTTATTGATTGCTTAATATTCCTGTTTTCGAAAGAGCACTGGCTACCAGCAATAGCCGGCAAGTTTAGCAGTATTTTCGGAGGGCTCCAATCCAAAATAACGCGAATGTAAAAAGTCTGTATTACTCATGCAGGGACTTTCATGCCTATTTTTTTTATAAACTTTGTCACAATATAAACTAGAGGGCACTCAGAGACTGCATACCTCCGCCCACATTAAATTTCGGTCGTGTGAAATGCAACTAAGACAATAGATAATTAGGGCTGAAGCTTAATGAGGTTTATCATCTCATTGTCTTCTTAGTACTGCGTGCATACATTATACACGTCCTAATTACGCATTCAGTGAGTTTTTTATAATTGACCGGGAAAAGCAAGACAAAATTTTGTTCATTTCTCGTTCAATTTTTAACCAAATTCAACCAAATTTTAATCAGTTCTTCCTTAGCCGATGGGAAATGCATTCAAAAAATTTCGTATGAATATGTTTGGTATTTCTTGAGTTATCGTGCTCACAGACAAACACACACACATACACACACACACACATACACACACACACATACACACACACATACACACACACACACACACACACACACACACACACACACACACACACACACATACAAACCCAGATGATTACATAACTCCTGGCGGAGGTAATTACATAATCTAAATACTATAATGACTATAACGCATTCCGAGCTATTTCTGCATGAATCGTTTTCCAAGACTAACAAACTGTTAAAACCATATTAAAACAGACATGAAAACCGTAGATGCAAGATAACTCGAAATGCTAGATCTAACAATACAACAATTTACAACAGTTGTGACAGGGTATTCACAACAGCTTTTGGCCAATTACTGTGATCCCATCCCATTAACGTTATTCAACATTTTAATTTCAGTCTTTTTTTATTCCACTAGTCTATCATCAGAGAAAGTAAATTTGTACGCCCATACATTGGTTTACAATTTTCGTTCTGGACTGACACTGGTGCAGTTAAAGTTTAAGCTTCCCGTTATTTAACTTCAAACATTTTCTAAACAGCTGTGGAAGAATTTGTCCTACCAAAAAACATGCAACACAAGCCGTATTTCATTACGTTTCTTATAACAACTCTGTCGTTGGTTGTAAACAATACAAATTGCTTTCAGAAATTTCTTACTTTGGTTTAATTTGTGCTGTTCAGTTTTACCAGTAAAACAAATAAGTCAATGTTTAGAAGATAAGAAATCTTGATTGTCTTAAAATTAGATTTTAAATTGTCGGTGTACTGTAGTACAAGTGGATGAAATGAATGGATCAAGTAAAATATGTATATTGGAGAACGTTATTAATTTAACCAAAGTATCCAACCCAGAAAACGATGACAATCTGGGATAAACTAATTAGTCTATGATCTACGAAAAAAGGATTTTATGGTCCAATTAACCTTAATTTTAATTCTCGCACTATAGCTTTGGAGTGACTTCATTCATTAACGCACGGAAGCCAATAAATTGATTCATTCTATTAAATATAGCTACCAAAGACAACAACGTTTTTTAGTTTACGTTACGCCAGTTTAACTCATTTTCTGTAACGTACAGTTTTGAAATTATTTCCAGGCCTGGAGTTGTGTTTTGGAAAGCCTGTTGATCCTGCACTCCTGAAATTGGTTACGGAAGAGGTCGCAGAACTTCGTATGTCTGTTAAAACCTTGGAATTTGAAAGTGAATCACAGGTTAGAGGAATCTTCTTTCTTGACCTTTAACAATTACTAGATAAAGAGAAAGAAAAGGCATGGGATAACTGTCGATAAGCTACACTGTATCATTGTTAAAAAATAAATGAATTTAGGTTTAATTTATAACCCTTTGGCCGTGCGATGATATATATCATTGTCTAAGCACAACGTTGGCATTCGCATATTATATTAAATGGAAGATCCGTGACCGAGAAAATCATTGTCATTTCTCTGATAGCCTACGTACTTCTGTCGCAGTGGTTACGCAATGAAATTTGATCCGTTGCTCTAGTTTAAACATCCGTTAAACATGCATGTGTATTAATTCATGAAGTTGGCATGTTGCTGCATAGGAACTATTTAACATAGTAATTATATTAAAGCTGAAAGCTCAGGTCATACTTGCATGACACTCGAGTTTCCACTGAATTTTGTAAAACGTATGTGAAGTTAAAGTCGAAATCCAAAGTAAGATTTTATGGGATGTCTGGAGTACACAGCATATAGTACTGTATGTGTGTTGTTTAGCTTTTGCCTCCTGAAAGCTAGTTAATATTTAATACTGTTAGAATACTTCTATATCTGCAGATGAATACATTCCTTGAGAAGCTTGGTAACATACAATCACACTTTGACAACGAGTTACGTGAGATGCTTTTCAGAATTGAAAGATGTGAAAACCTGGGGGCGGAAAACACGAAGGAATTAAAACTTCTTGACAAAAAGTTCAACACGGAACTGACGAAATATCATAGCAAGCAAGAAGATAAGATTCCTTATATTTTTGACGCTCCAGACAGAAACCAATATTTCTCCGGGCGAATTCGAGAACTACAAGATCTTCAGCGTAATCTTCTAAATCTTGACGATACTGGGCTAGAAAGGAAAGCTTGTGTAGCCGCAGTCTGTGGTTTGGGAGGCGTTGGCAAAACAAGTCTTGTCACTGAGTATGCTCACAGGATGAAGAAACATTACGAAGGCGGCGTTTACTGGTTCTCGGCAGAAGATGATACATTTTTTGAGCAATCTGTCAATGACGCTGCATTGAAACTTGGTGCTTTACTCGGGACTTTCAATTTAACGTTGACAAAAACCCTCATAAGAATTGGCCAAACAAGTAAACCATATTTAATCGTCTTGGATTGCTTAGATCAGTTGGATCTCTCTCCCAATATATTAAAGTTTCTTTCCCTCGTTTCAAGACAAAGTGTCTCAGCAGCTGTTGTTGTGATGACCAGAAGAAGTGAATGTAAACTTGTTGACGAGATTTCAAATCTTCATAAAGATCGTTGTCTTAGTTTGAGATGTCTAGAAGACGAAGAGACGAAGCAGTTTCTATTTTACAGGACCGGGTTGACTCGCGATGACAACACGAACAGTGTCGCCGAAAGTCTAGTTAATGAGCTGGGAGGATTGCCACTCGCTCTAGAGCAAGCAGGAGCTTGTATTAAAGCACTTCGTTGCGACTTATCTGAGTACCTTGAGCAATTTCAAACTGAACGCTTGAAACTGTTGGAAAGTCAGAAAGCGAAGCCAGTATCAGTTTATGAAAAACCTGAACGCCTGGCGGTTCACACGACATGGTTATTAAATATCAAACACATCAAAGAAAGCCTACACGGTATGTCCGCCATCCTACTCATGAACGCTTTTGCATTCCTTAATCCAAGCGAGATCGAAAAGGAATTGGTCAATGTTGGTGAAAGTTCAATTGAAGACAAATCATTTCGTGATTGTATAAGCTCACCTCTCGGTTGTCGTCAAGTTGTTAAACTACTGACTGATTTTTCACTTTTCACGTATGTCCATGCGCACTCTGTCAGCACGCATCGCCTAGTTCAGGAGCTAGTCAGGGAAAATCTTGATCCTGAGGAGAAAGCTAAGAGTTTTGTTGATGCAGTACGCTTGCTTTCTTTTGCATTTTCTAAGTGCACATCTCCAAAACATTTACTGGGTAATGATGGTATGGAAGAACGCTTGAAAGCCTATAATTCGCCTAGAAACCATTCTCAATATTACTTGTGGTCTAAGCTTTGTTTTCATGGCTTCCAGCTCCAACGGAATATGGAGAAATTACTCGCAAATCCTGATCCGGAATGTTTAGATTCGCTTTTCGTTTTCGAAACAGTTAAACTTCTTTATGAATGCGTTGTTTACTTAAGTGCCAATCAGAAACAAGAAGAGGCTAAACGCACACTAAATTTTGCGTATCGAATGCTTGATTGGATTCCTGAACAAGAGTATGACACAATACAAAAAAGTCTTTCGAGTAACTCTTTCTTTCCTTCCCATGTTATTCCTTTACCAAAGTGGCTTCAAATTGTGATAAAAAAATGTTGTGTACCTCCTATGAGTTCCCTTGAGCCTCTTGATCAAAAGCCTACTGAGTCGCCTGACTTAGAGCAGGACATTGATAAGCTTAGATCGGAGGGGAATAGGAACTTTAACAATGGTCTCTACAAAGAAGCACTGGATGCTTATTCTGCTGCCATAGATATGAGTAGAGGTACAACTGTCTTCAACGCTTTATTGCTGACTAACCGTGCTTCTGCTTATATCAAGCTTCACCAGCTTGATGACGCTTTGCGAGATGCAAATGAATATATATCTCGATTCCCAGATTGTTGGAAGGGTTACGCTAGAAAGGCATTGGCACTTGATGAGAAAGTCTGTGCTGAAATTGCTGCAGCACTAGCTTCCTATTATTTTTCCATAAAAAATAGTAAATGTATTTTTTCAGAATACAAACCATTCCAAGGAGCGTTCCCAGGCTTAAAGCAGCGTATTTCCATATGTCATACTGTAGATCAGTTATTGGCAGCATTGGACTCGTACACTGCACATGACTGTCTGCGGGTTATAATTCTGGGATCAAAGGAGTATATTATTAACTTGAATATGTCTGTGCTATCATTAAATCCTCGCGAAGCAAACATAGGAGTAGCTATTTCTGTGAGAGACTGCATCATGCTTGGTTCGAGAGCGAATGCCTCTGTTTATTTAAAGCTCGAAGGTAACACAGGCATGCAGTTGTTAGGAAAATGTATGCTTCAAAATCTTTCTTTTGCTGTTGATAAAGGTCAAATCATAGGGCGTGATGTTTCTTTTGTTAAGATGCTTAGCTGCAATTTTACTTCCAATAATACTGTTTCGGCAGCTGTTGGGTCTATTGGTAAGTTTAATGCAGAACGATGTAACTTTACTAACTGCAAAGCCGGTGGGCTGCTGTGCGTGGGACCTGGTAATATGGTTGTTGATAACTGCACATTTGCTGGTAATATGAAAGCTGGCCTAGAAGTGCGCGAAAATGGCAAACTGAAAGTAAGGAACAGTCGCATGTATAACAACAGTACGGATGGTTTGGTAATAGGACCCAAGGCTGCAAAATGTGACGCTTTTGATTGTCAAATTTATCACAATGCTCGTGAAGGAATTACAGTCCAGGATTCCTTAAAGTGCGTCGCTCTCATGCGAAACCATGTTTTTGGAAATGATTCGGGTGGTATATTCGTGAAGAACTCAGACGTTGACATGAGAGAGAATAAGTTCTTTGACAACGAAGGTTGGGGTATTTGGTCGCAGACTAATTCTTGGTGTAATGTATCGATGAATGAAGTCTTCCGTAACAAATGTGGAGGAATTCGTGTTGGGAAACGGAAAAAGTTCCCTCCCTCAGTAGTTGAATTGAACACAGTTCATGATAATTTTGGTCCTGCAATTGTGGATACCATTAACAACTTCGAAGATGAACGCGTTTCTGGGACTGATACACACGTATCGGGAACGAATGGTGATTATATATCGGCAAAATATGATGGGAATGTCGAGTACAATAACGAAGAAAGAGTTATCAGCAACCAATCGAAATTTTCTTCGTCTTGGTGTTCTGGATGCAAGAGAAAATGTGAGGATTTGAAAAAGTGTGGGAAGTGCTTCACTGCTGGATATTGCAACAAGGATTGTGAAAAAGAACACTGCTCAAAACACAAGAACTTGTGCAAGGTTTTACGCGAGAAATCAAGCTTCTTGATCACTTCCATGACGAGGCGTGGGTCTGACGGCCAAATAAATACTCACGCGAGAGGTCTTGATGATGTTGGTCCAGACTACAGCGATCCTCCGCCAAGAAATGGTAAAAAATTCGTTGCTAAAGTGCAAACGTATTTTGAACGTCGCCTATATCAGCCGCACAGCCTTATTATTTACGATCGCAGCTTAGATGTTGACGAAGTATTTCAAGATGAATTTATTGAGCATCTTGTGAAGGACTTTGGCGTACTTTGTGAGAGAAGATATCAAGAGAAAAAGCTTTTTCTACACTGTATGTTTGAAAAGAACGGAAAGCTACGATTGTTCATCAATGATTTCGCTGACTTTCAGAAATGGTGAACTTTTATTCTATGTGCGTGATGAATCTGAACACTCGCGAACATTTACAAAAATGAATACTTGATATATACTATAGTTTCGGTTTTGTTGATATTTCATCATTTAATGCGGCGTGACTGCATGTCCATGTCATAGAACTTGTTTTAGTTAGTAATATTTGATTAGGAATGTTACTGTATAATTCTCTATAAATTATATTTTCTTGTTTTTGATTAGCCAGATTCTTTTAATAAGTTTTGTAATTTGAAGAAAAAACACCACAATTCTGGGAATCTTTAATTGAAAATGTTCACGCGTTTCCTTTCTCACTTGAATAAATACTTGTCAATATTCTCATTTTGAGTTTCATATGAAACTGGTAAACGTTGCATGGTTGATTCTTTGAAATGTTTTTTTATTGTTAAAGCGAGTCAATATGTGAACAGGGACACTTCACACGTTCAAGAGTCGTCTTGCACTGGCTATACAAAGGGTATACACCAAATAAAACTTTTTGTCTTTGGCTCGTACTGATAGTGTTAATTTAAATAGCTTTGTAATGCAAACGCTTCCGATCCATGACACATATTAGATAGGTAGAACTACAACTGAATAAAACTGCAGCACTAAGAATTTTAAAAAGGCCGAAGGCTGAGGCAGATAACACAAACCGAGGCCTTAATAATTCCTCCTACCCTGAACCTAATTCAATAATTGTTTTATTATTTATTTTTCGGAATACACAATAAAGGTTGGCGAATCTTTCCTTTGAGGAAGCCATTTGTATTTTCCCGCTTTTGGTATAAGCCGCATAAATTAGCGTGACGTCATAGCGTGTTGCATTGTTTTTCAATATACCTGTTACCACGAAATTACGTCAAACGTGGTATATTTGTTTTCAATATTCCACGGTGATGTCATAACTCCAAATTTGGGCAGCTACCGAGCAGATATGACAATTTCACCGACAGCTCTTAGCGACTTAGCTAATCAAAGCTCTTGAATTATTTTCAATAAATAATAATACTTATTATGTTGAAACGATTGATTTTCGAATACGCGAGAAATATTCAAGCACCAATACGATATATATATATATATATATATATATATATATATATATATATATATATATATATATATATATATATATATATATATATATATATATATATATATATATATATATATATATATATATATATATATATATATATATATATATATATATATATATATATATATATATATATATATATATATATATATATATATATATATATATATATAACGTAACGCTTTTCTTAATTTTTGACCGAAGTACAAGTGCTGTGAGGACAAATTAATGAACAAACGTAGTGCTCAGAATGCAGGAAATGGACATTTACTTCATGACGTTTATTCTAAATTTCAACTTAATTAAATTAAATTAAAATGAATACTTCCTCAAGTTCCAGAAACGATTACATTTTCCCATGGTGTACCACGGTCACCATAGATTTAATATTTATATGCAAAGCGCGCTCATTGGAGCAGAATGTAAAATGCATGGTTGTATCTGAATAAGTCGTATCAATTCAACTGCTTTGAATTTGTTACTAAATTTAAGTAGGGTAATTTCAGTCTGTGCAGTTGCTTGACCAGTTTAACGCGGACAGACACTCGACTTCAATGCCATTTCCTTTTGAAATTTCCAGATATGGTAAGGTTGGAAAAAATTAAAAAAGCACACAAAAGTAACGCAAATTACTTCCTTCCAAATGTGACTCGTTACCTAAAAAAATAATTACGTTACAAAATTGTATTCGTACAATGAGTAATAAATTACAGAAAAATTACTAAAAAGTCATTAGTAACGCGTTACTTAATAACAAGTAATTACAACACTGTGTTTAATGTGATTATTTCATAAATAGAGTTTATAAACAGGTAATCTTCCGATAAAGGCTTTGAACGTCAAAATAGTTTCTCTTTAATATCTTTTCAATTATGTATCCATTTGAGATTTTCTAATAATTGTGGGGAACGAACCTCGTATGTTTCCCTCGGCAATAGCTCGCACTTCGATCCTTGGGTCGGCACGAAGCTATAGGGACGGGATGCATGATTTGTTGAGTAAACTAGAATATATTTTTAAAAGAACTAATCGCAAACACTTTTCCTTCTGTTCAGGGTAGCCAACTGCTCTCCCCTGTAAAGCCTGAACGGAAATATGGTTCCTATTTAAGAGAACTGTAAAAACTATAGAGTAACTTCTTTTGCAGTTTTTCGTTCTGTTGCTCCGTTTTCGAGATATTTCAGCTAGTTTGATATACATGTCATTGTTTCCACGTCACGATATGCATAATGAATTATCAGAATAAGTTGTATATCTTTGCTATTAGAGAGGTTATTGGTACGGGTATCGCCATTTTGTTTATCAATTTTTGCTGATGTCAGCATTTTTACCCGTAATTTCTACCCGTTTCCCCGCGGTAAACCGTTGTCTACACGTAAAAGACAAACGGTACGGGTGTTTTCTGTTTACTATTTGTGGGCCGTTTAAATAGCAAAAAACGTCAACACCTTACCCAAAATAAATAATGCACATATGCTCGTCAAAGTGTTCAACAATCTATGGCACACCTCAACAGCGAAAGCTACCATTCTCTGATCGGTTTTCTCACGCCGGAGTATCCTGAATTTCTTAAGTTACAAGTCGTACCTCGAATTTACGGGTACGGGACGTGTATATCACCCGCACCCGTAAACCGGAACCGAGGTATCTTATAACCTCTCTAATATATCAAACAAAATATCATTTTAGAAGCTTAAAATGTACATTTGTGTTGTTCTACAACATCAAATACCTGGATTCTCTAGTAATTTCATAATAACAAGAATATATAACATTTTCAGCAAATTCATTATGCATATTTGTGACATAGAACCTTGACACGTTTATCAAACTAACTGAAATATCTCGAAAACGAAGCAACGGAACGATAGTTCTTGCATGCAAATAAGACAATAAACGTTCTCGTTTCATACGCACATTAAGGATGGAGTTAGATTTAACATTCCACACTTTTTAGTAATACACAAACTAAGGCAATACTAGATTGTAGCTACAAGATTTTCGAGTGACTTTTCTCGACAAACAACTACAACCTGTGTTTTTTGCAAAGGATTTAGGGATGGAATTAGATGTGCATGCGCTTGAGTTATGATGAGCACATAACAACATTAGTTTCAAAATATATAAAGTCCCTGTGTCAAATAAATCGAATCAAACTTATCTTAGACGACTACTTAACAATTAGACAACGAGGCCGAGTTGTCTATGAGCGAATAGTCAACGAGGCGAAGCCGAGTTGACTATTTGCTCATAGACAACGAGGGCGAGTTGTCTAATTGTTTTAGTATAAACTTTAACATTAATTTACAACTAGGCTGCAAACACAATACAAAAATACACAAAAAAACATTATAAAACCACTAAAGGTAAACAAATATTTTAGTTTTGTTCGCGTAGATGTTTTACAAAATTCAGTTTTAATTTTAAAATTTCATTGAGTGTATGTTATTTTGTCTATTTTCTTACCCTTAAAAATTGCCATTCCATATTTTTGTTGTTTTTTTCGGGGGTTTTTAGTACAGAATTGTTCAACAAGTCGTCCAAAAAATCATCAGACACTTCGGCAAAAGTGCAAAACGCGAATTTTCCGCCATTTTGAATTTTCTATTAGTAGGCTATCACTAATAGCCTACTAGTAGCGTAGCCAATCAGAAGGCACGAAATGTGATAGCCTACTAGTAGGTTTATACTAAACTCTGATAACGGTGATAAACGCTTTAGTATTCAGCAGACTATATACTACTCCTCATCTGTGTGGGCGAACAATTGCAACAAAAACGTCGCCAAGCTGCAAAATGTGCAGAACTTTGCTGCAAGAATTATAGTCACTGGGAAATGTAAATTTGACCATATAACCCGGCGGTACGTCAACTGTTAGTGACGTTAGTTATATGCTGCGTTACAAAGACGCAGTCATGACATTCAAATGTTTAAAAGGTTTGGGTCGAGTAGATTTTTATACCGATCTGGGGCCGGTTGTATCAAAGGCGTTTAAGTCGCTAACCACCGTTTAACTCGCTATCCGCTGGATAAAATTTAAACGCTCGAGAAATCGCGTTGTATCAAGCCCGTTTAGGGCTATCCACCGATTAAATTTTGCCTATCCACCGTGTAAACTTATACGGTCTCTTGAGACCGTTTAAATCGCTATACGGCGGATAAACTCGGAGTTTGAAGATAAAACAATGATTATTTCGGATGAAAAAGCATGGGATAGTTATAAAAATGCACAATCATGTGGAGGAGTTATCTTTTTAAATCCAATAAAGATGAAAAACTCACTTTTAACTGGCTTGGTCTTGAGGTACACTGAGGTCACTTGCTCACTTGTAATTCAGTGACTTTGCTATATTTACGCACACCAGTGTCATGTTTAGATGTTAAGTATATATACTCTGGCTTTTTCTTCTTCTTTTCTTCTATTATATAGTTTGAAAACAAGCAGTAAGACTCGCAATTTTAGCTATTGTAAAACAAACAATGACTTTGGAAAGCCAACAAGTATACAAAATAGACAACAAGACGCCGAAAGTTGAAAAAAAATTGTTCGCTCGCGTTAATCGCTTTGATCAGCCAATCAAAACGTGGTTCAAAATGTTCTTAAAATTGTTTTGTACAAAAGTGCAAGGTCGAGGAACAAATTTCAAACAGTATAAAACTGAATCAACTGACAAAAGCCAAATACAACTCACAGTTTTTGCTATTGCCTTCGACTCTTCGCATAAAGAAGCCAAAAATCTTAAAGAAATATCCGTAAGTGAATTTAAGTGAATGAGAAACTCAGCACAATGTGAAAATGAAAAGTTTGATATAGATTTGCAGCAACGAATGGACGAGCAAACTCCAAATAAAAACAACAACAAACTTTATTGCAAAAGCTTAGTGGAATTCACAAGTTAGATAA